ATCGCTTTCCGGCCATTGGATATCTTACGTCATACCCATTCGATGGTATCTTTCGCCAGGGTTCAGGCATTCGTTACAGGATCAACGCATATGTACAAAATCGTTTTAATCACTTCAATTGTTCTCATCGTAGCCGGTATGCTTCTCACCACATTCAGCCTGTTCAGTCCAATGTGGCAAGTGAGTGCATTTGACCTCAGCCCTCCCAAGTTCCCGGTTAAATCCATCCCTTTCAGATAGTCGATCGACCTAAACTGGCAGAAATCCATCATCATGGTTTATGGTGGGATTGTGTGGTACCGGATGGAACGTTAATACCGCTACAGTATGAAGGTACCGCACAAACTGGTATGCTCATATCCACGAATTTCTCGTAAAATGTCCAAAAATTCCATTTAAACGCCGTCAACTAGCAAAAGCGATCCGGATGTGGTGAAAAAAGCCGACATGCATGTCAACGGCTACGAATTGAAAGCGAGATTAATGCGACGATTTCGCTGAATTCGTCCACAATCCCGTCCTTATATGAAACATTGCAAGCATTTTTTGTCCTAACATTCCCATACCCATACGTAGGATTTCACTGGGGAAATACACGAGTACATGAGATAATACGAATTTGGGCAATAGTTCACAAGCTTCTTTTGAATGCGCTTTTCCCAGTGAGTACGAGGGAATTTATCGAGGGCGTTAGAGGGTTAAGAACGTCCCAGTTAGGCATAGCCTGCGGCGAAAAAAGGCTAATGCAAAAGCACTAACAAGCCTATGACCATTATTTTTGGAAAGGTAGAGTGAGTCGCAAAACACTCCCTCTTCAACACCTGAGCAGAAGTGGGCAGGGCGATCTCCATTGTGGGCGGAGCGGAGCAATTTGCAAAAAGTGAAATAAAAATTTAGTGGAGTTCACTTAAGCTTCACTCTGGGACCGTTTCAAAAAGAAACATCAGAGTGTTAAAAAAAAACAGCTTTTCGCTTTGGGTCCAGACCGCTCCAGGTCCTCCAATGATCGATCTTCAACTCATTCGTGATGGATGCCGGCTGCTTTGGAGTTCAGAAAGGGCACACGATATGTTATGGCGGTACTGGTTCATGGTGCTACTGCATTCCGTAAGTGCCACACAAGTGGTCTTTCAAGGAGAGTAACCGTCCTCTCACCCCTTGTCATCTTTTTGAATGACCAATCTCAATATTCTCGGACTCGGGGGAGCTGAAATTTGAGGCACATACACCGTTTGGAAGCTGAACCCCAAAATATTAGCTTTTCGTTTAGATTTTTTCCGCTTTAAGTTCAGCTGTTGAAATGTGTTTCGGGGAAATAAACCTTCCAGTGCAATATGGAGGAAGTCACGTTTGCATGTCGAAATGAATTGAAGAAAAAAGTTGTGAATGCTGCTGTCAGGGAAATGTTTTTGGAAAAGTGACGTGACTATGGCATATGGAAGAGTTGGGCATTTAGGCTTGTAGACGGGACTGACTAAAAAAATAGAAATAGAAAAATAATAATTGTTCATCCAGATCAGGGGCAACAAGTGTGACAGGTGGGAATAAGGTCTGAATGTAGCTGAAGAGACCGAGTCGTCTTCAAAGTGATCAGTGTCTTTCTTTAAAACATCAAGAGTTCTGGGAACGGCCTCGTTTGAATCCTACAACATCTTCCACTTTATTGAACTGTCTTAAGTGACTGCTCATTCGTTAAAATAATTTCGTTCAGGAGTATAGCGCAGCCTCCCC